CATTTGAATGGTATACAAAATCTTCTATTGCAGGATGCGCTAATGGACAATGTAATTTAGGTTTTTGCTATGCAAATGGTATTGGAACGGCTAAAGATAACAAAAAAGCATTTGAATGGTATACAAAATCTTCTATTGCAGGATGCGCTAATGGACAATGTAATTTAGGTTTTTTCTATGAAAATGGTATAGGAACGGCTAAAGATAACAAAAAAGCATTTGAATGGTATACAAAATCTGCTATTGCAGGATGTCCTAACGGACAATGTAACTTAGGGTTTTGTTATGCAAATGGAGTAGGAACAGATAAAAATATAACGAAATCATTTGAATGGTATTTAAAATCAGCTGAAAGTGAATTTGCAGTAGCACAAAATTATATAGGAGATTGTTATGATTATGGTATTGGAACCAATAAAGATAAAGATAAAGCAATTTATTGGTATAAAAAAGCATTAGATAATGGAATCAAAGAAGCAAAGGATAAATTACTAGATATATTTTCATAAATTCTTCATAAATATAACTTGTTTCTTTACTGTAAATTATCATTATTATCAATATATTTAAACAAAGTTAGAACAGGGCTATTATTTAAAAAATTTTATTAAATGGAGTCAGACTTTTATAATATGTTAAAATTAACAACGATTCCCAAGATGACACGTGTAAGCACCATCTCTTAAAGTAGTTTTCGGACTTGAAAAGATTATATCGTTCGCGTTTAAGAGAAAGGTTGCCAATGGAATGATTAATCGTCTATTAAAATAGTTGTTATTTTATATATATATTTATTTTTAAAATGTGTTACGTAAATTAGCATCGATAGTAACCAAAGTCGCAAAAGTATCATTCTTGATAGACATGAGGTATTATTCTTGATAGACTTTACTGTAAAATATATTATGCATATCAAGATTCTCCTGCATATCTATTAAGAATGATATTTTTGCACCAGTCATAATGCCGTTGATGTCACAGAAACAATCATGTGATCTTTTCTTTTGGCTCTCGTAAATAAATACTTTTCGTAATACGTTATACGTAATATCCAAATACGAGCGTAGCCATGTTGATCGCTAAACTAATTTAAATAAAATAATGAATTATACAGTATGCAACGAGTTTTCTTTTTTTTACATATTTCTTTTCAAAAAAAAAACAATAAAATGAAGAATATTAATAATTTTAGAGATGACGAGTATTTTTTAAAAATTTTTTTAAAAAACTTATATTATAAAATTATTGAAACAAATGATTTTAATAATTTTGAAAAAAGTTCAAATGAATGGATAAAATATATTCTTGAAAGTAACAACAAAAATTCTGAAAAAGTTCTTAAGATAATGGAAAATCATAAAGAAAGTAAATTTTGGTTCACAAGTTTTATAGGATTTTTTTATCAACTTGGTATTGGTTGTGATATAGATAAAGAAAAAGCATTGAATTTATATTTTTTATCTATTAATAATGAAATTGAAAATGATTCTTCTTATAATGAAGATTTTAATAAATTATGTTTGACTAAAGATTTCGATTATTCATTTGTTTCATTAAGAAATAAAAATATAATTATTGGAAAATATTTATTATCATTATTTTATTATAAAGATATTATTTTAGATATCAATTATAAACAAAACAAATTAGCAATTAGCTTAAAGTTAGCTAAAAAGGGTGATTTAGAAGCACAATATAATTTAGCAATTTGTTATATGGATGGAAAAGGAGTAAGAAAGGATAAAAAAAAAGCACTTAAATGGTTTTTAAAGTCTGAAAATAAATATTTTAAAATCATTCTGAACAAAAATGAAAGAGAATTTAAAAGAATTTTAAAACTTGCAATAGAAAATAACTCAACTGCACAAAATAATATGGGAAATTTTTATAAATATGGTAAAGGAACAGATAGAAATGAAAAAAAAGCATTTGAATGGTATACAAAATCTGCTATTGCAGGATGCGCTAATGGACAATATAATTTAGGTGTTTGCTATGAAAATGGTATAGGAACGGCTAAAGATGACAATAAAGCATTTGAATGGTATTTGAAATCAGCTGAAGCTGAAAATGAAATGGCACAAAATAATTTGGGAATTTATTATCGACATGGTAAAGGAACAGATAAAAACGAAATAAAAGCATTTGAATGGATCCTTAAATCAGCAACTGCAGGATATCCTAATGGACAATATAACTTGGGGTTTTGTTATGCAAATGAAGTAGGAACAGATAAAAATATAACAAAATCATTTGAATGGTATTTAAAATCAGCTGAAAGTGAATTTGCAGTAGCACAAAATTATGTAGGAGATTGTTATAATTATGGTTTTGGAACCAATAAAGATAAAGATAAAGCAATTTATTGGTATGAAAAAGCATTAGATAATGGAATCAAAGAAGTAAAGGATAAATTAGACAATATACATTATCCCTTTTAAAGTTAGACAGGGCTATTATTTATTAAATGGAGTCAGATTTTATTTTATTTCTAGAAGAGGAGTGAACGTTATCTATTACATTAACAACATGCGCATACTAGGTAACTACAGAAGCTATTCAGGTAATTGGAACTACGTATCTCATCCCACAAGGTAGTCAAAGCAGTTATGTAGGACCCCACCCTTCGAACTGAACTATCTTAGTAGTAAAATTACGCTACAACTACTAGCACTAAATGGACTCAGACTTTTATGTGTTAACAACGATTTCCCAAGACGTCACGTGTAAACACCTTAGCACCATAGTTTTCGGACTTGAAAGATTATATCGTTCGCATCTAAGAAATGTTGCCAATAGAATGATTAATCATCTATTAAATAGTTGTTATCTTATTGAGTGTAAAAAATTTATTTATTTTTTTTAAATTAGGACTAGCTACCAAAGTGTGATGTCACAGAAACAATCATGTGATCTTTCCTTATTAGATAAATATTTTTGAAATATCCAAATACAAGTGCATTATGTTGATCACTAAACTAATTTAAATAAAATAATGGTATGCAACGAGCTTTCTTTTTCTTCCATATTTCTTTAAAAAAAAATAATAAATAAAAACATTAAAAATGAAGAATATTAAATTTAATGATGAGAATTTTTTAAAAAATTTTTTAATATGCTTTTATTATAAAATTATTGAAACAAATGATTTAAATAATTTTGAAAACAGTTCAAATAAATGGATAAAATATATTCTTGAAAGTAACAATAAAAATTCTGAAAAAGTTCTTAAGATAATAAAAAATCATAAAGAAAGTAAATTTTGGTTCACAAGTTTTATAGGATTTTTTTATCAACTTGGTATTGGTTGTGATATAGATAAAGAAAAAGCATTAACTTTATATTTTTTATCTATTAATAATGAAATTGAAAATGATTCTTCTTATAATGAAGATTTTAATAAATTATGTTTGATTGAAGATTTCGATTATTCATTTATTTCATTAAGAAATAAAAATATAATTATTGGAAAATATTTATTATCATTATTTTATTATAAAGATATTATTTTAGATATCAATTATAAACAAAATAAATTAGCAATGAGCCTAAAGTTAGCTAAAAAGGGTGATTTAGAAGCACAATATAATTTAGCAATTTGTTATATGGATGGAAAAGGAGTAAGAAAGGATAAAAAAAAGGCACTTAAATGGTTTTTAAAGTCTGAAAATAAATATTTTAAAATCATTCTGAACAAAAATGAAAGAGAATTTAAAAGAATTTTAAAACTTGCAATAGAAAATGACTCAACTGCACAAAATAATATGGGAAATTTTTATAAGTATGGTAAAGGAACAGATAGAAATGAAAAAAAAGCATTTGAATGGTATACAAAATCTGCTATAGCAGGATAGGTTTTTGCTATGCAAATGGTATAGGAACGGCTAAAGATAACAAAAAAGCATTTGAATGGTATACAAAATCTGCTATTGCAGGATGCGCTAATGGACAATGTAATTTAGGTTTTTGCTATGCAAATGGTATAGGAACGGCTAAAGATGACAATAAAGCATTTGAATGGTATTTGAAGTCTGCTGAAAATGAATTTGAAATAGCGCAAAATTATATAGGAGATTGCTATAATTACGGTATTGGAACTGATAAAGATAAAGATAAAGCAATTTATTGGTATAAAAAAGCATTAGATAATGGAATCAGAGAAGCAAAGGATAAATTAGATTATATTTATTGGATGATTATTGAAGATTAAATTAACTAAAATTTTTTATATATATGATGCCGAATTAATACGGTGACGTAATAATTACTTTATTGTAATGTTTGATACGCTGCCGTAATGCTGTGCGTGATGCCGGTAATGCCGAATTGTAAATTGTCGAATTGTTCAAATAATTTTTTGTTGGTTGAAATTATTATGCTTAAAGATTAACTGCGTAGTTTATGTATATTTATATCATTATCATTTATAAAAAATCATCTGATAAAATTTTTTTTAAAAAATGTAATTTTAAAGAAAAAAAATTTTTGTTACAATTTCTGTACATGATTATAAAAAAAGCAAGTCACAATTACGGCGCCTTACGTTGGTGTAACTAATTTCGACATTTGCCATTTGGGTGTAATCAATTACACCGCTGTAATGCCGAATTGGCGGAATACCAAGAACAAGATATGTTGGTGATGTCCCAGAAACAATCATGTGATCTTTCCTTTTGATGATTCAAATTCAGAATTTCACAATGGCGGATATTTTTCGTAATACGTATCAACCAAATACGAAGCAAGCAATTTTATTTAATTAAGTTTAGATCCGACTTGCACAAGCTTGCTTCCGTATTTTTTTTTTTTAAAAAAAAAATAAATATTGCGATGAAGAATATTAATAATTTTAGAGATGGTGAAAATTTTTTAAAAAATTTTTATTATAAAATTATTGAAACAAGATTTTTAATAATTTTGAAAAAATTTCAAATAAATGGATAAAATATATTCTTGAAAGTAACAACAAAAATCCTGAAAAAGTTCTCAAGATAATGAATTTTGGTTCACAAGTTTTATAGGATTTTTTTGGTATTGATTGTGATATAGATAAAGAAAAAGCAATAAATTTATATTTTTTATCTATTAATAATGAAATTGAAAATGATTCTTCTTTTAATAAAGATTTTAACAAATTATGTTTAATTAAAGGTGACAATTATTCATTTATTTTATTAAGAAATAATAATATAATTATTTGAAGGTGGAAATATTGAAGGACAATGTAACTTAGGATATTGTTATGAAAATAGTATAGGAACAGATAAAAATAAAATAAAAGCATTTAAATGATACCTGCTGAAATCAGTTGAAGGTGGAAATGTTGAAATATTATTTAGGTTATTGTTATGGAAATGGTATTGGAATAAATAAAGAAAATAAAGATCAAATAAAGTGGTATATGAAATCAAGATGTGTCGAAGTACACACTAATTTGGGAGGTTGTTACCAATATGATATAGGAACAGATAAAGCGAAACAAAAGCATTTGAATGGTACCTGAATCAGCATTTGCGGGATGTCCTAGCAAACAATGTAATTTAAGACTTTGTTATGCAAGCGGAATAGGAACAGATAAAAATGAAACGAAATCATTTGAATGGTATTTGAAATCAGCTGGTGAATATCATGCAGTAGCACAAAAATATGTAGGAGTATTACCCTATAAAAAATGACACTCCAGAATATTTCCGTTATAATTCCGTGATTTTGTTTGGGTTCCGTAAATATTCAGGAATTTTTTCGGAATAGTAACCGGTTGAGTAGCAATCCGGATTCTTTCAGTAATTTCAGCAATATAAATACGGAATTTAAATGGACTATCAGAGAATTACCATCTTTTAAGTAACCACAATAGTGTAGTATTTACAGCCAATTTACAGCTTACGTTTATAATATTACAATATTACAACCGCTAAGGGTTGTAATTCAATATATAATAATCGCTACTTATGGCAACCAACCTTATCTGACAGACTGTATACCTACATATAATGAACAAATTAGCAGTGAATGTAAATGTTGTAGCCCAAACTCTACTATGTTCCCAAATCAAATTCAAGCCAGTGCTTCATCCGTAACTTCATCATCTGACAGACTGAAACATAAAGTATAAAGTCAATATTATGCATAGAAAATTAAATGAGAGGAAGAGAACATACCTAAAAAATTCGCGCAACACATCAAGCCAATAACGATCATGAGCTTTTTTGAGTAAGGCACATGGTTCTGCCCCTGAGGCCATTGTATATCCTCATTCATTGATGATGGATAACTGTCCACATCGTGTCTTCCACACCAATCAAAGTCAATGAGGTTAGTATGCAGTTCTTCCCTGTTCCAAAGATCAGAATGTTTGGAGGGCGAAGATTTGCAAACACAAAGTTTTTATTATGTAGTTCATTAATAGCAAACTTCACATCTCTATAAATAGTCAAACTATGAGACACATCTATGGTATCTCCTTTATTAAATCTTTGGTCAAGTGCAGTACCATCAAGGTATTCCATGATAATCATCCTAAATCCTCTTGCTTCAGCGTCATCACTGCAATATAATAATTTAGGGGCGAAATCAGCAGTTGCACAGATGTTATGGGCAGCAACACAGTATTTGGACATATATTTTATTACAATCGATTTGCATTTTCATCAGTACCTTTCCAGATTATTCTTGTAGGATCATCTGATAGTTCATATATGTCAGTGAAAGAAATAATATTATTTCCATCAGATTGGAATTGGCAAACATAAGGAAAAAATTGATGATCTACCGATCTCTCCACACCTAAATTTTGGTAAAAATTATTAAGAAGTCGAAGTGCTTGGTATAGCGAATAAAAAAGTTGAGTAATTTGTTTCTTTTTATCAAAAACTCATAAATTTATTGCGAGAGGAATGAAGTCCGTCAATAGTTCAACTACTGCCCTGTTAAGGAAGACGCCTCCAAGAATATAAAACCATGGGCCGGCCACGGTGATAATGAAAGATGGAAACAACAACAATTTCTGATTTTTTCAACTTGGATGGAAAATATCAATTACATAAACACATAGATTTGCATAGCATTAATCTAAGGATTTAAATTATACATACATTATCCTGAGACCAGTAATCTCTATAATACAATGCTTCTTGAATAATAGGATCATTTTTGTCTGTTTCAATCTCATTTTTTCCTTCCAATATTTCCAAATAAGCAATAAGTGTGCCTAATGAAGTTGTAAGCACTCCATTACTCTTGCATTTTTGTCTGTTTTTTTTATATTCAACCAATATGGTGCCCAATTTTTCTGAAAATATCTTTCTCATTCTTTCATTATGTTCTTCCTCATATTCATTGATTTTTGTTGCATTAAGAATAAGTTTATCGGCCCATCCCAAAAAAATCAGGAGGTATTTCCAGGTTTTCATCACTAAAATTATTAAGGAATAGGCTAAAGGCACTATTATAAATAGTAATTGGAGGACCAGTGTTAGCAAGCGGTCAACCATTAAGGATTAGGTTCATTTGTTGATCCTTGAGAAAATTTTCAGGATTGGCTCCAACCAAGGGGCTATTCACTTTAAGACCAGTTGTAACAGTATCATGATACTCTATGATAAAGAAAAAAGCTATGAAACATAACCGAATAATATTTCACTATTGAAAAAGATTCAAAGGTAACCTTTCATGTGCTTTCTCCATTTTAACGTTTCATTATTTTCATTATAAAGGGAAGGTGAAAGAGCCCTTGTTTAGCCTGAAGACAAGATAATACAGCCAGGAAAGAAGTGTAAGTCACGAAATAACGATCAAAAAAGTCAAGCCATATCGAGTTGACCATCAATAGGTCGATCTACAGGTAACGCAAATGTGTTCTTTGGGCGGGTTTGACAATAAGAAGCAAGAAAGAAAAGCACAAGATTATGTAAGTATTCAGTATTATTGGCAAACATGACAAAGAGACGAGAATATAAGCCACCTTATTCTTATACTTATATATAATCTCTATGAGAACATACCAAGTGTAGAGATTACCAAATTTTATTTTCTAAGGTGACATTTGTGCCATTTTGATACTAAGAACAATAGCTTTTTAATAATTAAATGCAATGGTATGCTATACAATTCCATACAAAATACTTTTTGCTACCATAAACTTAAATACAACCAATCTTATCTAATAAATTAATTCAATTTGTTTTTAATTATTTAACGATTTTTACCATTTAGTTTTGCGATTTATTTAATAAGAGGTGAATTTTTGATGGAAGAGGATAGAGTAAAAAATCAGAATAAAAGGACATTTGCTACCTATTAAATAATTAACTTTAACATCAGTATTTGTATACAGTCAGACCCCCATACAGTCACACCCTATACAGTCACACCTCTTTATAAGAACTCGATTTTGAGAAACGGTTTTAAATACTATCAAATTACCCCTCTATAATCACAATTTGACTATAATCACTATCACCGCATAATCCCAAATGGATATATCATTTCTATTAGTGATTAGACCTCTATTAATCATATCATAATTTCGGCCAAAAAGCAATTTCGCCCAGAATTACGAAACATATAATTTTTTTCTTTCCTTTTTAGGAATTAATGTTACACGACATTCCAACACAAAATTGGCAAAAAAAATTTTGTGGAATGGCTATCACCAAAAAAGGAAATATCCGTAGTGATCACATAATTTTATAAATTATAATTTACTAATTTCGGCCAAAATTAAGATATAGTACCTGTATATAAGCACACCCCTATACAATCACTGATTTATGGGAACCAATTAGGTGACTATATGGGAGTCTGACTGTACTTAATTTTCTCGAAAAAAGTAACAAATATGAAGAAGGAGGTGTTGTATCAATAGAATTATCTTCTTTACCTAAATTGTTTTTTTTTTAATTTAATATATAAAATAATAAAATATTTATTAAACAAAAAAAAAACATAATTAAAGAATATCGCCAAACTTTCTGAATGTAACAAATTTATAGGATCATTTTCTTTTCCTGATTAACAAATAAAATTTGGAAATTTTTTTTTAAAAAAAGTTGTATTTAGCTAAACCTTGAGAATTATTTTCCTTTTCTTCTTCATTAGCCTGAGATGTACTTTATTGAAGTGATATTAATGCAGCCCTTTTAGAAGGTCTAGTGGTTTCAATCCCATTTTTAATTCTTTTTTTTGAAACGTGTCCTAGATTATCATTTAAAAGTAAAAATTGCTAATTAATAAATAAAATATTTATTTGAAACAAATCATACATTTTGACTTTTAATATTGTTTCTGGATTTTTAATTTTTCAAGTTTGTGAATTTTTGAATTATCGAGTAAAATGTAAAAATTCTTTGCTGGTTTCAGATTTTATTTCTATCTGCTTAACCTTATAAGAATACAACCATCATTTTAAGGGGGCACAGGATAAAGAGTGTAAACTGGAACAGGTTAAGATTCCCCCTTTTTTTATGGTGTGATAGTTAGTTGCATAATTGATCAATGATCGTCGCACAGATTGATATATCAGGGTTTTTTTTTCAGTTTTGCAAATCTTTTCTTACTTATCGAACCGAAAAAATGTCCACTAGTGCAATACAAACTCTCAGAACACTGATTAATAGTTTTGGTTTCACTGAAGAGGAAAAGTTGCTTTAAGAAAATATTTTATTGGGAATGAAAAACGACAAAATGATGCGCTGACTTTTCCTTCCTGACTACACAACGGATGAAGCGAAGCTTGTATTCTTGAGATCAACATCGTGCAAAATTTCTTAAGTGAATAAATGAAAAATAATTTTTCTTTCTATTGTGTGGACCAATCAAATTCTGAGGGGTACGGGTTAAAAATCTGTACCCAGATAATAGAGGACCCTGGAAAATACTTATATAGGTAAGGTCCCAAAAATATTTTTTATTAGTAGCTCTAAGCATAGGTTTTTACTATGATCGCTAAGCATTGTTGATATCTAACCTTAAAAATTATATAAAAATAAGCAAATCAATCTTCTAACCTAATTAAATTTTTATTATAACACATATAATTT